TAATAGTTTGTTTGAAAGAGAAAAGAACAGGCTTTGAAGTAAGCCTAAAAGCGTTTAACTAGAAATAGTATTTCGAAAGTTATTAAGCACAAAAGATGAATTGCGTTTATTTTGATACACCCTGTATAAATATAACGTTGTTATCCACTGTATCTTTTAGCCAAGTTTCAGTAAAGCACATTATGGCCGGCTCATGATCATTTGCAAACTGACGTAATTCATCTATTTTTTGGACAAGGGACATCACGTTCGATAATACTACAGAAGGAACAAAATAAAGAGCCTTACTATTGATGGAGGTTTGAGTGTTTATGGGTTTATTTGGATATACCAACTTGGCCTCAGAGGACTTGTGGGTGGATATAGGAACGTAGAAATATGGTCTACTTCTCGATGAAAAAGTACTTCTAGAAGATATTCTCACTGGGATGTTGATTGAAATGGTATTACCATTCTGCTGTAGGGAAAGAGATTTTCGTCGGAAGCACCTAAACATCGAGCAATGTCAGCCCATCTAAGACCGAGATTATCTCGGAAGAAGCGGAGCTGATGCTCCTCCAACGCGCTTCCACATCGAGGCCGACCACCTCTCCAATATGTCGAACAAGGTGATTCATTTGGACGTTTTTGCTGGTCTAGAGCATCCTGATCGGAAACACGTAGTGCCGTAATGCCAAGCTGAATCTTTAGGAATGATATCACTTGCAATAAATTACCAACTAGTTTGTGCAGTCTTTGTCTTTCAGGGTAAGCCTGAATTACTCGTGCGTTTAGCAAACTAAATGACTCCTCCAACGTTTCTAATTTGGTGATCCAATTCTGCGAAGACTGAACATCACAGATGCGTAACTGTTGCCTTGCTCGTACCAATGTTGCTTCCACAGTTTCGAAGGAATTTTGTGTATCAGGCAACCAGCGAACCGCCATCTTGGTTGTATATTTCCAGACATATTAACTATATTTCTCAATTTTTTTTCCGCGTAAACAAACAGAGTTTCCCTCCCCCCGTTTGTATAAATTAACCGTCGCATAAATTAGAACTAGAAAATACATGCATGCAGAAACGCTCGCCTTACTGACAAAACCGTTGTATTTTCCGAACATGAAGTATCTAAACTCTAAAGTCGTTGTCATGGTAACACGATAATTTTTTAAGAATATTCTTACAAATGAAAATCGCCTAAAAATATCACTTTTAATTACAAAATTATCAATTTCCCAACATATATATGTTAGATATGTAATTATACGTAATACAA